TCCTGCTGTTAAGTCATTGAGAAGGGTAGCACAAATTTACAGCTGGTAGTTGATTGCCCGTTTTTGCATAATCCCTTCTCTGTAGAGATTTCTTTCATGATAATTTTGTTCAGTATTTAGAGCACTGTTGCTGGATAAGCTCTGGACTCTATTTGAATAATAAACAGTTACACCAATGAATACCAACACTTACAAGTTATTGATGCTAAAGTTAATAATTATGAATTTTCATTTTTAAAGAACTTCCATGCAATTGCCTCCTTTGGAAAATCTAATCTTAATAACTAGCTCTTGGGCCAAAAAGAATCATACTACCACAGTCTTTCCCACTTAGGTGGTCTGATTTGAATTTTAATCCAAAGTTTTCACAAGTCTTTGATTTTTATTTTATTTTTTAATTTTGTTTTTCTTTTCATTGTCCTGTGTTTGTGAGAGAACCCAAGATAAGAATTTCTGGAAGTCTCCTTTATTCTTGACTGCACAAATTGCTTGTTACCTAACTGTGAGGATTGTCATCTTTTAGTGTTAATTGCAACTTCTCTATTGACAATGAGAATGACGAATTTATGCAATTTGGCCCAGTATGAAATAGTTAAATTACACCTATACTCAGCTGTCAACCCACTAGAGTGCAGTCTGGCCATGAAACAGCTTTCTTTTAGAGCCTAATACAAATGAGGTAAATGGGAACCATGAGGAAAAACTTCAGTTGATGATAACCTTTTTGCAGAGTGTATGAGAGGATACTGAAAGAGAGCTCTTCGCTAGTAAAATATTGCAGAGGTCATCTAATATTACACGCAGAGTAAAGTGAATGACCTGATGTGGCATCTTCTGCTGCTTCTGAGCATCAGTGAAGTTCCACCTCGCCACAGGACATCATCTGCTTCAGCTGCAGGATCAGTGCTGGCACTTGGAAGGAGTTGGTAGCCATATATAGCAAAGGCTAACAGTCTTATCCAGAAGTTACCACATCCAGTGGGGAAGCTCTCATTGATGCAGAGCAGGAGACCCATAAAGGTCTGTTCATTAATTGTGAACAGGATAATTTTTTCCAGTGCCATGAAACATTGGCATGTTTTCTTTTTTAGATCTTTTTCACTCTGTACCTTAAAGAAACTAAGTCCATCTGTAGTTCTTCATAAACAAGCAAGAGGTAGATACCGTAACAGACCTGGGGATTAGCACATTCCTCTGGGGTGTGCAAGATGAAGACACAGAGTTCCTGTACAGATCTTGCCTTGCAGCTTCATGACCAGGCTGTGGGCTGTTTTGAAGGAGTCATTGTTAATAGCTCTTAACAAAAAAAGTTGACAATGTTTGGGGTATTTATTTTCTGAAGCTAATAATTGAGTCAGTGGAGTGTCTGAACTATTGGAACACTTTGGCCTGAACCTGTTTTTCTCTGTAAAGTTTTGGCTTCTTAATTGTATTTAAACATAACTTTTCAAACATAACTTTTCCACTGTAGCATTATTTGCTAGGTGGCTCTCCTAACAATGCTAATTTTGGTGCTCTTTGCACAGTGTTGCAGAATGGATGCGTAACACTTGTACAGGATACATTTTAGAATAGTTTTCCTACTGAATTGAAGAACCTGCTAGCTTTCTTGACATTCAAAAAATGTAATTGAATGGTAGCATCTAATCGCACTATTTTTTCAGTTAGTATTTATTTGTTTTATAGATAAATAAACCTCAGAGATTAAACAGTAGGAAAAAAAATATACAATAACAATAGGACTGAGTTTTTAATCTGAAAAAGATAATAGATGGGAACACACATGATGTTGGGAGGTTTCTTTAATTTAAGAAAATTGTCATTTTTTTAGCCAATTGTAAATATAGGACTGCCTCACCATTCTTGACAGTAATCTGGTTTTCTAATTTAAGTTTCTTGTACCTTGGCATTGTAGTTAATTCCCTTGTAATTAGAGTGTTGTTTGAGCTGGAACTTATTATATAAATATAATGCTAATTGTACAACATTTCTGTCCAAACAGACACAGGTTAGTTAATAAATCCCATCAAGTTAAGTGCATGGTTTTTTTCTTTAGATCATGGGCCTACTCCAATAAAGGTGTTGAACAGTTTGAATTCCACATTGCTTGATTTTCAGCAGTCTGGCCCGGGGCAAGAATCTATACCCTCATCTTGTGGGTTGAGGTCACTTGCATGGCCCAAGAGGAAGCAAAGTCCTTTAGGCTGCAGGCAGCTGGAACAGATGTAAAGTAGCAAAGTGAATTAGAGCATGCCTCTGTGGCCTGGTCACTGGGCAGTTCAGGCTCCTCTAAGTTCTTAGTGATAATTTCTAGGAACTCTCAGCCAGTATATGCTCACCAGACAGATGACAAAAGCACAGCTTAAAAGAGGGTGTCACAGTTATATTTTCCATCGATCCTTGTCTTGAGGGGCCTGTGAACATCTGCCAGATTGGATTAGATACATTGTAGTCAGAAGCAAGATGCTAAATAAGTCTAAACGGTTCTAGGATGTGTCATAGTGGGAGGTCAGTTATCACCTGAGTATGCTGTATTTAGCATCTTCTAATACTTAGATAAAAGATAAATGAAAGTTATATAAAATTTTTAAAAGGTCATAGACCTTTATTTAAATATCAAATACAAGAATGGATCTACCAGTTCTTTTTTTTTCTTCCAAGAGTTCTACATAGATACCAGTTGGGTTGTTTGGATTTTAGGTGTCCTCTGCTGGTGCAGACTTTCAGTGTGCTGTGCTTGTGTAAGTCCTCTTTGCTCTGAGAGAGATGCATTCTCAGCCTGTTGTAAGAAGAATGAGACAAAACACAAGGATTAACAGATGAAGATGTTTAGGAGTAGAACAATGTGGAATGTATTCTTGGATGAAATGAGGTTTTAGTGTCAGCTATACTGCAGGAAAGGAGGAAATAGTGTCTCAAATGTAGGAAATGGTCTGAAGCAGAATTAGGAGGTTAGATTGGATGCAGTTTATGTTGGGAAGATGGTAGGAAGCCTAACATAAGAAGGCTATAGTTTTGAAAGAGGGATTCTGTAAGTATGTCTCTTAAATCCTCCCTGCAGCTGCATCAGCCGCTACAATACCCCTTAGTGTTTTCTTCTTACAAACTGGCCTATTAATTTTAGAGGAATTAATCTCTTGGCAAATATCCTAATGCCCAGTACTCCTGTACTGTTCCATGTACTGTCCTCATTTAAATTAGAGTTTTGAAATTGATTTCCACAGAAGCAGGATTGGCAGTCCCAAATCCCATACAGACTCTCCATGTTGAATTTGATTTTGCTTGAGATGCCCACAGTGCATCCCTCCAGGGCCTTCAGGGTGCCTCAGGGTAGCTGGAACACTGCAGATTCTTTGAAATTTGTGCAAGTTCCTGGTGATTATCTGTATTTGTTAGACTTACGGTTGCTAATGTCTTGGTTGAAGGCTTTCTCTGGTATTGCAGCAAGACACTCAGAAAGCATGTCCACATTTTTCTTGGCAGTTAGAGCATGTTCCAGCTGGTGCACCATGGCAGATACAGCAGTAATGAAAGATTTGTGTAAAAGAACATAAGCCCAGAAGGTATTTCTTTAAGAATGGGGAACAGGAGCTGCTGTATGGTGTGATGAATGGCATGGAGTGTGTTTCCACATCACCAGAGCTTACTGCGGGCATTATTTATATATAACTGACAGCAGCACTTTTAGACAAAAAGTTCAGTAGAACTCTGAAAAGTTAAAGTTGTATTCTGTGAATTCCAGAGCATCCTTCATTGATGTGCCTGTGTATCTGCATTATAAATTACATATATGGAATTTGTGTAGAATAATAGAGCAGCAGCAGTTTGGAAAAAAATAATTAATATCTGTTCTTGCACACATGCTAGAGATCTGTAGGGGGAATGAGATCAATTTTCCTTCTAGCTGAATTCATAGCAGTCTGTTAGCATTAACCACATTTGAATAGCACCATTCACAGCCACGTTCACTTGTTGGGCAGCTTCCTCCCTTGAACTCGTCATGTGGGTGCACGTTTACAACAGATGGAAATTTCCTTCAGCAGACTTTGCTTTGTGAAACTTTCAGAATATCACTAAATCTAATTGGAAAGGAGTTTGGAATTAACATTATCTTAATGTTTTCATGTTTGGGGAATTGAATTAGGCTTCTGTTTTTACATGAGAAAAGCCTTTTTCTGGTTTTATATATTCTCATTGCATTCTTTCTGGATGAGTATTTAATATTGTTATTGTATATTTTTTGCAACTATGGAGCTGATTAACTTTTTTTTTTCCTTCAGCATTGTTGTTCTACTGGACTTTAGCTTTTATAACTAAAACCATCAAATTTGTGAAGTTCTGTGATAATGGGGTCGGATTTTCTCAGCTTCGATTTTGCCTCACTGGACTCCTGGTTGTTCTGTATGGAATGCTTCTAGCTGTAGAAATCAATGTCATCAGGGTGAGGGTAAGTCAGTAGCATAAAAGACTGTTTCTGTGTTTTGGCAGGTTGTTTTGTTTGTTTTTTGTTCTTTATTCCCCTTTCTGGAGATTTACTGTGGGATGCACTTCTAAAGGAGGTAGAAAAATCCACTTAGAAATAGATATATATTTGAGAATCAAAGATTAACCCAACTTTATTAGGCCAGATGAATCTGTAATTTAAAAAAATGCCAGACTCCATTTTAGTTAAATTGAGATGAATTTAATCTGTTTGGGTTTGTTTTAAAAATGTCTATTATGATCTACAGTTTCAGTCATCAGAAAAAAGTATTTCTGATGCAAAGAAAGACTGGGTGAAAGAAATTGTTAGCTCTGTCAGAGAATGTCTTAGACACGCAAATAACATCTCTTATTTTCCAAGAGACAATCACAATAAGTGATTTACTGGGGTGACTGGAGTTGCTATCTAACCTCTCAGATATATATATATGTATATGTATATATGTATATTCCACCCCATCCCCATGTGGTGTCTGCAGTCATAATCCAAACTGGGAGATGGTTTGGAGACTGCTGGATAGATAAATGCCAAAGTTCTTCCCCTCACTTAATTGTGTGCCCAAGTTAAACTTAGTCTCAGGAGAGTAAGAAACTTTTCCATGTAAATTTTCTTGCTGCTTCCCTCATATCAGTATGTGAACTCTTTCCAGTAATGCATCCAGCAATGGAAGTTGCATCTGTCATGTATTTGTTCTTTTGTGATTTTCTTGGGGGATTTTGTGTATTTGCATGTTTATTTGATAACTTAGAACAAAAATATGTATAAAAGCAGCCTTTTGGCTAAGATTTTTGAAAGAAAGAATAATAAAAAACCTCAACGCTGGACAATAAGTATTGGATTATAAATTAAATACAATGGATTGGCTTGAGGGAAAAGTGAAATTCAAATGTGACATCAGGGAGACTTGCTTATAAACCTCCTCATAGTAGAACTGCATAATTAAATGAGATTTAATCCCTGTGGAATTATAGGTCACAAAGAAGAATTAAACATGGTCACTACCTATTGTAATTTTTTTTTCTGTATTGTATTTGTTCAGTTTTAATTACTAGAAGATGTCTTTGATGCATAGAATCAGTTAGCCAGCAGCATGGATTTCTTTACTGCCTATTGTGTCTATAGCAGAGTTTAGAGAGCCAGGCTTGTTGCTGCAGCTGCTGAAGGAAGGGGCTTGGGATGCATGGAGAGTTGGCCACTGCTGAGGGGAGGGAAGGGTGAAAGAGTGGGAGAGAAAAAAAAATATAAAAATAAGGGATGAAGCCTCTGTCCTAGCAGAATCAGCAGACACTGGCCTCATCTTTTTTCTCCTGCCTTCCCCCATCTTCTTCCAGAAGACAGCGGATTGATTTGTTTGACTTTCACTCCAAGCTTTACCTTCTCCCTTCCTTCTCCTGTTCCCATTGTTCCCCTAGATGGCCTTTCCCAACCCCAGCACCATTTCTTCTAAGATCTGTGAATTATTTCTCCAACTATGGTTGGTAATAAGATAGCAGTGAAGCACATCCAGAAATCCTGCTAGGATTGATAGGTTTTAGATACACTCGTGAGTAGAGATTGAATGAAATATGTGACTGAGTACTTTTAAGAGGCTTGGCTTTTCATTCCCAAAAATGAGCAGTGTCTGAAAAACTTTTGTCTTGACAACAGGAAATCATCAGCAGTCTGCCTTTGCTTTTTTAGCATTTCAGCCAGTGAAAGCACTCTCTAGTTCAGTGGTTTCCCATGCCCATTTGGTACAGCACAGGTATCTCCATGTTCTGAGCTGACTAAATAGGAAGCAGTACGGTAGGGAAGATGAATCCCTGTGATAGCCTCAGGGCTGTGCCTAAGATCGTGTGTTCCATGCTGCTCTGTCTGCAGCTCCGAGTGAGAGGCTGGGGCTCTACTCTTTGAAATGTAAGGTGAGGGGTTTTTTCCTACACTTATGCAAACTTGTACCCCATAAACAAAGTAATAGTGAATCTTTAGGCTAGTTTATTTCTAGACTGGATGCCTCTGCTTTTCCCCAGTACCTGAGGAAACTGGATTGCTGTATTGGTTGAACTTGAATGTCTAAATTCCTTGAGCACTTTTGAGAAACCAAGATTGATTCATTGATTATCTGCTGTGTCCTTTCTTTCTTATCTATTCTTTGCAGGCTTTTATTTTTTATACATTTAGTGTGATTATTTTTTTCTCCCCCCGAATTTCAGAGGTATGTTTTCTTCAAAACTCCTAAAGAAGTTAAACCTCCTGAGGATCTCCAGGACCTTGGCGTTCGATTCCTACAGCCATTTGTGAATCTGTTATCCAAAGGAACGTACTGGTGGATGAATACATTCATCAAGACTGCCCATAAGAAACCAATAGACTTGAAAACCATCGGCAAGCTTCCCATTGCTATGAGAGCATTGACCAATTACATGCGCCTTAATGAGGCTTTTGAGGCACAGAAGGTATGCCAAGCGTGCTATTATGTACATCTGGTTACTCAGTGCTTCTGTTTTTCATTACTTTTTTTGCTATGAACATGATATAAAATTATATAAACATAAATTATGCAAATAAAGTATCTATTAGCATAGCTTTCCATATACAAGGAGATCACATACTCAGTTGTACCTCATACAAATAATGACATTTCTCTACCTAAACATGCACGTCAAACCCATTACTGGTTAAATGTGTGTAAAATCTGTATAACCTCTATTTTGATGTGGAAAGTAATAGTGAACTATATTCACTGAACACCATTATCATTCTTCCTAATAAGACCCTGGAATCATTCAGTTACAGAGTCAATGAGGCCTCACAGGAGGCTTTTTTTCATGTTATTCAGTTACAGTTTGTCTGTAGGAGAATTCAGGGCTGAAAGTACCTGAGCTTAGATTCTGCCCAGCTCCCTGATGAGAGCTGAGCTGAGTATATTCAGGAATTTAAAAGAAGTCTTTTGCATCCTGTCTAAAAAAAGTGTAAGTTTCCAGTTTCTATGTTCTCAGGAACACAAAACCTGTCAGTTCCCTCCCTCTTTTTTTTTTTCTTTTCCTTCTTCAGCAAGCCACACTTATTTCATGTCTCTTGAGGGTAGGAAAGAAATAATGGTTCTTTTCATGAAGTGGAGGAGAGTACAAGTTATTGCTTTGTTCTGACCCTACAATAACAAATGAAATAATAATTGTAGTTCCTGTGGTTTTCTAGCTTAAAGATTGCAACTGGTTTTCAATGAATTAAAGTGGGATAAAAATACCAGTAATTCATCAGATCTGAGGCTAATGCATAACATAATCCTTACTATTTTAATTTTTTTTTCTGAACAGAACAAAAGGTCATCATCTCCACAAGGATCCAGATCAATATGGCGTGCTCTCTGCTGTGCTTTTGGAAGACCCTTACTTCTCAGTAGCACCTTCCGTATTCTGGCTGACTTGCTGGGATTTGCTGGTCCGCTCTGCATCTCTGGGATTGTTCACAATGTTGGAAAAGGAAATAACACCATCCGCCCACAGGTGCTGTCAAAGTGTCATAAAAATAAAGGATTCAAAAAAGTAACGCTATTACTATGTATTATTTGGCCTCAGTAAAAACAAAATTACCCTGCAATGTATGTGTGAATGTTAGAAATGACAGTATGTATGTATTGCATATTATCCACATTTATATCTTGAAGGGTGGTGAAAAATATGTTTCCCATGCACCTAGTCAGGCTTCTGTTCTGGAAAATAACCTCATTCAAGATAATAGTGAAGAATATCCAGAATCCCACTGGAATCATAAGGATTTTAGGTACAGTCTGAAGTGGAGATTGTATCAAGTATGTAACTGAGTGCTTTTTGGAAAGGAAAGAAGTGTGCTTTATAATAGGCTTGGCTTTTCATTTCCAAAAATAAGTGATGTCTAAGAGGATTGAAGGAGGCTTTTGTCATCACAATAAAATGGCAAGTAATTTAACTGTGACAAGGAACTTCCACTACTATGGGGAGGTTGATTTTGGAAGATCAACTGAAATATGTTTTTAAAGGATGCTACTTTAATTAATGTTCCCCAAGAAGAAGTAGACATAGTTCTTGATTAACTAAAAAAAACCAAAACCACACAACAGAAAACAAGTCATCAACAAAAAAACCCTTCCCATTATAAGTTGAGTTCACTCAGGCTGGATTTCTATGAGAAAGATCAGTTTGTTTCTGTAGCTCACTTACTGTTTGATACAAGACTTTCTTTCCAAAGTCTGTTGACACTAGTGGAAATATACCCATTCGCTCAAGTACACTTTGGATTAGGTCCACTGTAAATATTGAAATATATCAGATGCATTGCAGAAAATTTAACAAAGACCTCAGGCTAAAATTAATTGTTTATCCATTTTGAAATCCTTATCCTAATATTTGGAAGCTCTAATGTAGCAAGCAGATTCAATGGAAACCAGTTAAAGCAGGAAATGACAAAATATGACTATAGGGCAATGTTGCAGCAAGGTACTGTGGAAGCTTTTGAGCTCTGCTTCTTGATAATCTGTTTGGAATACTGTTTCATCTGAAACGATACTGAATCACAATTTACAGCTTATCCTATTTAATTTCCCTATTAAAGTATCAGCTAACGCTCCTCTGTGAAAACAGCTCAAGTCTGGTCCAGATAGGCACCAAACAGAGCCTCACCCACCCCTGACATCTTCACTGTGTCTAGCTAAGCAGTAACCTCAGCATTGTAATTTACACCATTTGGGGGTCACTTAACAGTGGTATTCATTGATGACGATAGTCCATGAGTGACACCCAAGAGTGTATTTTTTCTTCTGTTTTGACCTATTTCTTACACATTGTTTTTCTGTTAAGAAATTTGGAAATAGCTTTTACTGGATTAGATTAAGTATCTTTCTTAAATCTATGAAGGCTTTCTATTTAAATCATCAGTAAACAGACTGAGGTGGTCAGGAAAGCTCCCACATGTATGCACATACCTAGCTAACTAGTTCTGCTTTGGGAAAAAATTCACCAGCTCTTCTGCTGGGAATGTTATAATCTTTCTTGTAATGAGTTAAAAAAGAAGAACCTTGCGTTATTAATTATTTGCTCCTCAGAGCTACATGGGTGTGAGAAACAAGCGCTTTCTATAACAGTCTTACAAAGACAATGATAAGTTGGGGGAGGGAGGGAAGCATGGTTTATGTCTGATGTGCTGCTGAGTTTGAGGGCATTGCAAATAATTGCCATGCAGTGGGACAGAATCGGACAGGCCAAGTAAGCTGAGAGTACAGTGGAGAGCATCTTTTACCCATCCCTTAAAGTGACATTTCTTCATTTTAAATAGTTTAAATTGAGGAAATGTTGTAATGTATCTTTCAAACAGAAATTCTGTTTGTGAAACTGAAGGCAAGGAAATAAATCCCAAGATATAATATTTGCTCTATTCTTCAGGCCCTTTGTGACAGATATAAACTGGAACTCTGAGATCACGTGGCTGTCACAGGCAGCATTAACTGCTTCAGTTAGTGCCACAGTTAGTCAGAGCGTGACAGTGTCTTAAATTCTGTCACACTTTTCATGTTTAATTATAACTCCAGTATCAATATTTATGGCCACCCCAGAACGTTCTGATGACATGCATTTCTCTTGGGTGTTAATCATTTCACACCGAAGAAGAAACTGACAGAATGATAACCTTTATATTTTGCTGGTAACGTCTTCCACATTGCAATGCTAGGATTAGCAGTTCCAATATCAGGGGTATCTGCTGACACGACACATTCAAATCATGCACCTATAGACTCATAATTTAAAAAGCTCTAGAAGTTGTAGGTCTCAGTGTAGTATTGACATTTAAGATTGTGTGATTCTAGGGTCTTTAAGTATTTAAATAGTGGCTGTTTTACTGGTTAGATAGAGCCTACTGGCCCTTTTTAAAAGTGGTATTACCCTGAAGTTGTTTGGAAGGTGGGACACTGAATGTCTCCATCATTTCTGAAAAGAAAATATCTGATTAGTTCCATCAACTTCTCAAACAAGGTTATTTGCCTTATATGCATAGGTTCAGTAGATGTTCCTATGTTTCCCACAGGCTGACAAGTGCACTTGGACAAGTCTTGTAGTTTAAACACATAGATGCTCAGTGACTTTGTAAACCATAATGGCCTGATAATGCATCTGAGACTTGGCAACTATCTTGGTGCTTTCATGAAGTGTGTAGGAGATGTTTATGCATATATGTTTAAGTTCTCCTTTTCTCTCAAGTGAGTACTAGAAGAAGTAAGGAGAGTATTCACCTCACTTTTTCTCCTTCTTTATCTATTATATGATGTTTTGTTTGAATCAACACTGCACCAAAATCTTGTTGCTAGAAAAGCATGATTTGTCACAACATGGTTGTGTGAAAAATCATATTCTTTTATATATATTAAAAAGTGGTATTAGCTGCAGTAATTAGCAGTACTAGCCAGATGTATATGTAGGACAGCACTGAAATTGTGCTGCTTCTGTTACTGCCTTTGATGTAATACAGCACAATCTGTAACCTCCGTGGTTCATGATTGTGACAATGCTCCAGCCTTTCTCTTTGCTGTCGTGTTAGTACCTTCGACAGCCATGATCTCCGAGTGCCACAAACTTGTATGCAGCGCTAGCTCTGCCTTCAAAAGTAGCTTTTTGGGTTTTTAATGTGTTACAGAGATGCCACTTCTTCCTGGCTGACCCTGTATTGAAATAAAAAGAGATCCCAGTGATGAACTGCTAAAATAATAGCTGACATGAGAAAGGGTAACTCAAAAGAAAGATTCTCACTGTTGCAAGTTAGTAAGATATGTCTGTGGTGAAAACATTACAAATGTAAATGGTGCTGGGTTTTCCCAAATGTGCTTTTTTTTTTTCTTTGACATATGTACACTGCATGGGAAATAATAGTTGGCTCTTAAGCTCATACAGTTAAGCACCAGGGGCAGCTCTTTCACTTTCCACATGTGCCCAATGCTTTATGCTTACAAGTGTTAATATTAAGGAGTCTGAAAGATAAACTGGATCCACCATGAACCATGGACTTGGCCAATTTTTCAATTTCTCTTTTCTTTCCTACTGTTAAGGCCTTACAGGTAGTATGAGAGAAGACTTGGTTGTGGTACATTTTCTAAAGCTTCCAGGCTAAATGTAGAGCCTTGAGTCTCTCTTCTTATTCTTTAGAGTTACAGCAAGAATAAATTACAGTTAAATCTTGCAAGGGTCAAAGGCAAGTTAACTTGATTTGAAAAGCTGAACTTGTAAGACCATAAATAATCTGGAAGAGGGACTAACTTTTACTGTACCGTATACTCTTTGTAGCATATAAAGCTGCTGTAGCTTATTTGAATTACTATGGAGTAAGTAATAATTTAGAGCTTAAAATAGCTTTAAGGTACAAATAGCTAAAACAGTAGTTAAATGACTCTTTGTCCAAACATAATTGCTGACACATACCATAATTGTTTAGAGTTTTGCAATTAATAACAGATTTAAAGAAACAAGTACGCCCAGCGACTGCTTGCATTCTATTGATTTGACTTTGAAGAATCCATATGCTTGAATACTTTCTCAGAGGGGTTCTCTGAGGGCTAATTCCTTATTTAGTTCAGTGGCCCTACAGACTGCAGCAATGTTTATGTACATCAAATCTGGCTGAAGTCAAAGTACCTAGCTAAGTTGGAAAATATTATCATCTGACAGTTCACCTTTGAAAGTAAGAAATAAATTATTGAATGAAATAGCTTTTAATTCCTTGTTTTCAAAGCATGAAACTTAGCACTGTTGAGTGTCACTGATGGAAATTTTCCATGTTCTTGTGAGTTCTTGCAGTGTATACTTACATAAAAGTAGTATATGACTATCAAGATGCCTCCTTATGGAAGTAAGGAATATTTGCATAAACCAAAAATTAGAGGAATAGAATAATTATTACTTGCTTTTCTTTGTGTCCAGCCTTGATCTGAATCTCAGTAGCTTGTAACAAATGCCATGTAAGTGGGAAAAGGGAGTAAACCTAAGAAATCCGTATAAGTCCATCTGTGTTGCATTGTAGATGAAAGTTCTTTGACAGCTCCTTAGTTTGGCCAATATTTGAAGAGTCAGCCTCAACTAATTTGGAATTGGTCAGACATTTATGGGGAATTACTTTTTGTTTTTGATGAGTGACCCCCTAGGCACCTCAGCAGATGGTTGCATGGACAGACTAGACTAGTTTCTTCTCATGAATATTGCACCTCTCAAGGAATATTGCTGTGCGAGAGGGGAGGCACTGTGTCAGGAAACTGGTACTGGATGTGTTCTTGTAAGAATGCATTCTTCTCATGGAGTAAAACAAAGGATCCTTTCAAAAACTCTTTTGCTCATTATCTTGTATACTTGTTTGCCAGTGTAAGTATACATTTCTCTGCTTTTAAGCATATAAATTACCCTCCTTATGTCAAGGGGATAAATACTGTGCCCACTACAGCAATGGCAGTAGCAATCGTGAATGTCAAAAGATGGAGTAATAAGAGATTGAAATAATACCCTAAGACTTTGGTTCCTCAAGAAGATGAAGTTACCAATTGGGTGACCACTGCTGAAAGGATTTGCTCTTCCTCTGTTCATGGTCCTTGTCACCCGTGCTCCTGTTCCCTCCTTGGCTCTAGCTCTGGCACCACCTAGACACTTGTGGTCTGATTTGACCCATTAAACTAATAGAAAAGAAGCAGATTTTTTTCCTGGGATGATTTTTTTATGTCAGTGTTTTCAGTTGGCTCAAGAAGAGATCAGATTAGCTCCCAAACTAGTGCACAGTAAGTGACAGAAGTATGCTGATTGAAGGAATGCAGGTGTGATTAGGGGTAGGGAGAAGTTCATTCCTCTTTCAGCTGGCTCAGCCTCATCTCACAAAAGCACAGCTTTAAAAACTAAGTTTAGCCTCTGGATTAACTTGTCAACTGGAGTTTCTGTAAACAGTTAACTGCAAGGTGCAGATCAATTATAATAAAATTGCACAGACAGTGAGAGTTTGTGAAATACAGTTTATTAAGTGTTATAGTAGTCTTGAAAACGTCAACAACAAAAACCATGTAGTCAAGAAGAAATGTGTTGGGCAAGGAATGTAGCGGAAGTGTAAACAATGAGAAGCTCTCTGAGAGGGAATAGAAAGAAACCACTTCCTAATTTTGCCTTTAATGGCAGTTTAACCCAACAATCAAAGTTTTGAAGGAGCCAAGAGGAAGGCAGAAACATTTTAGTTTCAGAAGGCTCCCCAAGGTGAGTCAGCCTCTTAACTAGCTGTGGCACCAAAGGTGTCTGCTTGTTGGATATAATCTAGAATAAATGCCCTGCTTTCCCAGTAAGCTGTAGATGTGCTTCGAAACGCACTTTGGTGATCTCATGAACTTGCTACGAGGTAATGACAATGAATAAAAATGCTGTAAATGATGCTGCAAACCAAAATAATGTGTGTAGTTCCAGGAGTTGGAAGGATGTGCTTTTGGCAAGTTGTGAAGGTCATTTTAGTGTTCAGTAACCTGAGGTGCTGAATTAATGAGACTAATTTCTCCAAAAGTACGTTAACTACCCATTTCTGACAATGAGCAGTGCATATCTTTTAGCAAATGTCCATATGGAGTTACTCAAAGTGTCCTAGAGTTTTGGAAGGATATCAGAAATCCTATAAATGTCATTCTGCATTTAAGTAAAGCTGACTGAGTTGGCACATTGTATGACTGTTTCCTCGAACTGATAGAATGTGTGGTTTTAGATAACATTGGGAGCACTTCCAGAGTAATAAACTGTGGTTATCTCTGCTTATTAATTATGCAGAACTGCTAATTATATTATCATTGCACCTGATTTCTAACTTTCTTCTTTTTTTATAGACTAAAATTCTTGGTGTTTTCTTTATTTCATCTCAAGAGTTCCTGTCCAATGCTTATGTTTTGGCTGTACTCTTATTTTTTGCCCTTCTATTGCAAAGGACATTTCTACAAGCATCATATTATGTTGCTATTGAAACAGGAATCAATTTGAGAGGCGCAATACAGGTAGCCTATATATTATTAACTAACCTATTTTCATACAATTCTATGAATATTTGCAAATACGAATTATAATTATGGTCGTTAAATTCTGAAATGCTTCTCTCCTGAAATGTATTGAATGTAACCATTGCCGTTAAAGCTTGTGTTAACTTAGACCTGCATTCTCTTTCCTCTGCGTTTTATTTGATGATTTTATAGAAACATTTCCGTGTAATATCTAATGCTGTATTTCTTCTTACTCCTGAGCATAAATTTGCTGACAGTAAAATTGAATGTAGCTTTAGAAAGAATTTAGGTTGTGAACTACACCTCTTCTGTCTCAAAGGCATGTTTTTGTAACATCTCATGCTAATAATACAGCTTTAAAACGTCTGTAAATATGCTTTGGACAAAAGGTTAGGTGGTATTCCCAATTCACGGAGTAGTGTCTTATTCTGTGGGTCATGCTACAAAATCTACCAGGTATTGCAGAGTCTGTAGTTACTGAATATAAGTAAGATTGTTAACATGGAGTCTGTAAACATTGTATGACTGTGAAGAGCAGATCAACATTTTATGTAGTATACAAAGATCTGTGCCTGGAAATGAGAGAATTAGGTGAAAATTACTATGTGCTATTGCCACATGCACTGGCTGAAACCTGCCCTCTGACAGCTTGAAAGCCAGCCCTATAAGTTACACTATTTAGCCACCGAACTATATTGATCCTGTGAGAGTCTGTGTGATAAATGGTTGCTTTCAGTAGCAGCATAATTGTTTAATCTTCTTTTGATCTTACACTTGGAAGCACTTGTCAGCGGCCAGAATTCTGGATTCCATCCATTGGTTTTCTTTTATTAGGCTGAAGTAGAAAATTCCTAAAGAAATAAAAAATTGGCCCAAAATATGTGTAAAAGATTTGCATGTCTTGTATCAAAAAGAAGAGCTACAACTAACTGAAAAATACATGGACCACAGCAAGTGTAAAAAGGGAATTGTTGGAAAATAGTGCTATGTTAATTTTAAGAAAAGCTTTGTGTTCTCTGCACTGGATATTGTATAGAGGCCCAGATAGTGCCAGCAGTTCAACCATTCAAACTGGAAAATTTCTAGCCATCACTCTCAGCAGCAGAATTAGCGTTAATGGCAGTCTCTGTGCCAGTATTTGTATACAATTGTTTTCCTATAGTTTTTCAATTTTCTTTGAACCTTTTATCTCTTTTCCTCCCCTGTGTAAACCTGCACCTGTTCAATGTGCCCTACAC